TGACAGAATGAAGTAAATGATAAGGTTGACATTTCAAATCAGACTATGCCCCAAAGCAAGGTCTTATGACCACTGCTGGAAACAAGTGTGTGTGGTGGGGAGGTGGCCGGGGGGCGGGGCAAGAGGCCCTAGGGTCCACTGGATTAAGTGGGTTTCATTATCTCTTTCAGGCCACTTCGGTAGGTCGGTCGTGCTCTCTTCCTGAAGCCGCCTGTGGCGTCAACCAGTCATGGATAAAGGAGCCTCTGAAGTCACTCCCAGGACGCCCCACCCATCGTCAGAAGGATGACAGATTAATACCTAAAACCCTCCCTGGCCTCCAAAAACATAATGAGTTTTTTACTCGGTAGGCAACTGGGGAGGCACAGAAATGATGTGGATTTGTCCAAATGGCTATGGATGCTGACACGAGCTGCACCAGGATGGAGTTGGCCATTGCCAAAAAGTCATATAACCTACCTGCTTATGCCTATCTGTAATTTTGGAAAATGAAGAAAACATGTTGAGGGCTTCCCTGGTGGCACAGTGGTTGAGAATCCGCCTGCCAATGCAGGGGACACGGGTTCGAGCCCTGGTCCAGGAAGATCCCACATTACTGTGGAGCAGCTAAGCCCGTGCACCACAACTACTGAGCCTGAGCTCTAGAGCCCGCGAGGCACAACTACTGAGCACGCGTGCCACAACTACTGAAGCCCGTGCACCTAGAGCCCATGCTCCACAATAAGAGAAGCCACTGCAATGAGAAGCCCGCGCACTGCAACGAAGAGTAGCCCCCGCTCGCCGCAACTAGAGAAAGCCCGTGTGCAGCAACGAAGATCCAACACAGCCATAAATCAATAAATAATTGTAGAATAACAAAGTCCTCCCTTGTTTCACCTGTTAAAATAAAAGGTGCCTGTCACTCCTTTTCATTTGATACGTTGTTATATCGATACAGTTTTCCTGGGTTACACTGGAGAGGGGATTCTATTCCTCCTAACAGTCTATGCAGGGGCTCTCAGACACAGCGGAGATGGTGAGATCACACTGCATGTCAGATTTCTTCCATCTTTAATCTGAAAAAAAATGGAATAGTTATGTAGTTCTAGGTCACTCAAGGAAGTCATCCACTGCGAAGCAAGCACACTGCTTCTCTGCTGGCCCTGAAACTGCCCTCTCCGCCGCCAAGAGACACTCTACTGCTGGGAGGCACCGGCCACAAAGAGCGCAGGCCCAGGAAACATTCCCCATTGCCCACTGGCAGGGGCTCCTGCCTCCAGAAGCTCCCCACACAGCAAGCATCCCTTTCTCGGAGGCAGCAGGTGGAATCCCTTCCCCCGCCTAGAATCCCAAGGTGGCCCAGCCTGGGGAAGCTCCTTCCATTTCCCCAGGCAGCATCCCCAGCAGCCTGCGGTAAACCAAGCAAACCAAAACAGCACCGCAGAGGCTTGGAAATTCATGCTGTCCTCCCAAGCACAGCCCACGGCAGGAGGCCAGGGCCTGCTCGCCAAACCTCAACAGGGGGACTGCAAGCTAGAGCAGCGGTCCCCAACCTTCTTGGCACCAGGGTCCGGTTTCCATGGGAGACAATTTTCCCACGGGCGGGGGAGCGGGGGTGGTCCAGGCGGTAATGGGAGCCGTGGGAAGCCGCAGACAAAGCTTCGCTCCCTCGACCGCCCCTCACCTCCTGCTGTGCGGCCCGGTTCCTAACAGGCCTCCGACCAGGATCGGTCCTCGGCCTGGGGTTTGGGGACCCCTGTGCTACAGTACCCAGCTGCAACAGAACCCAGTGTCTCCTGACACGACACCAGAATGTCCAGGACACAATGGAAGATAATCCTTCATACAAAGAACCAGGAAATTCACAACCTGAATGAGAAAAGACAATCAAGTGACACTAACTCCAAAGTGAACTAGGTGTCAGAATGATCTGACCATGATTGTAAAGCATCGACCATAAAAATAATTCAGCAAACAATTAAATGTTCACACGGGCTTACTTCTAATAGCCAAAAGCTGGAAACCACCCCCAGGTCCTTCAGTGGGTGACTGGTTCAACAAACTGTGGTACATCCATACCATGGGATGCTACCCAGCAATAAAAAGGAACAAATAATTGTTACACAGAAGGATGTGGATAAATCTCCAGTGAATTATGCTGAGTGGGACAAAAAAAGCCAATCTCACAAGTTTACAGACTATATGATTCCATTTATAAAACATTCTTGAAATGACAGACTTCTAGAAAAGGAGAACAGATTCGTGGTTGCCAGGGGTGAGGGGTCTGGGAATGGGCAGGAGAGGGGTGGATGGGAAGGACAAGATGTGGGTGCGTCTACAAAGGGGCAGCAGGAGGGCCCCTTGCAGTGATGAACTCTTCTGTATCCAGACTGTATTCATGTCAATATCCTGGTTGTGCCTTGTGCTATAGTTTTGCAAGATGTTACCTACCCCTGGGGAAAGGCGGGAGAGGGGAAAGGAGACCTCTCTATTTCTTTCAACTGCCTGCCACTCTACAATAATGTCAAGATCAAAAGTTTAATTTAAAAGAGGGACTCTACTAAGAGATATTCCCCAGCCCCCTTCCAGAAAAACCCCAAACCACCATTTCTGAGGTCTTTCTCTCCACACTGAGGAACCTTGACTTCAGAAACTCTTTCTTGTTAGCATCCATGCTCCACCCTCTCGGTGTCAGCGAGGCCATTTTACAGCCCTGACTGCTGACCCTAACATACAGCTAACAGATTTGGCCACGCGGCTTGTGGGATTTTGGTTCCCTGACCGGGGATCGAACCCGGGCCCTCAGCAGTGAGAGCACAGAGTCCTAACCACTGCACTGCCAGGGAACTCTACGGCTAAGAGTTTTGTTTGTTTGTCAGGGCGGGGGTCTTGCTCTGTTGCCCAGGCTGGAGGGCAGTGGCTAGTCACAGGCGCCATGTGGCTACTGACCAGCAGGGCAGTTTTGACCTGCTCCATTTCAGACCTGGGCCTGTTCACCCCTCCATAGGAAAGCTGGTGGTCCCCCGCTTCCGGGAGCTTCCCAGATTGAAGCTGAATTTAGTGCAGACACGCGATCACAGAGCGCCCTACAGCCCGGAAGTCCAGGGCTCAAGCGGTTCTCCCGCCTCAACCACCGGAGTAGCTGGGACCACCGGCGTGTGCCGCCGCGCCCGGCCAGCTCACAGTTTTAAGCACTGACTACGTGCCAGCAGTGTGATCAAAATGTACGCGCTGCTCTCCCTTTAATCCTCAAAACAATACCAGAAGCCATTTTACCAAAGGGGAAACTGAGGCGCAAAGAGGAAAGTAACTTGTCCCAAGCCACGGAGCCAGTGGGCAGAGGGCAGAGCCAAGATTCGAACCCCTTTGATCCAAGCTGACACTGGCTATTGCAGCAGTGACCTGCCTCCCTGTGGAAACAGGCCCTCTTCACTGTTCACTCTGTGCGCTTGGGGGGAAATCTGGAGGATGGAAGTTCCAGACTAAACTACAAAGTCACTTGCCCGTGTAGATCTACTCAGGGCAATCAAGAGACTCCGGGTGGGGAGGTACGACACCGTGATGTCCCAGTCGCGGCCACCAAACCGCACATAAAACATCTCTGTCTCACTCACTCACCTATTCCCTCCCCTCCGTCTCGCAACCTCTGTCTGCATGTATTTTAAAATACTCACAGCTTCTTGGCAAGCTGTGCGGGTGCAGCTTCTGCACGCTGTTGTGGATCTCCTGGGACAGGATAGTCAGCAGCTGCTCCAACACCAGCAGCGCCAGGACCTGCTCCATGGTGCGCATCTCAAGCCAAAGCCACCCAGCCGTGGCAAAGCTCCAGAAGCCGCCTGAGGGTTTCTGGGGGACCAGCGGCAGAACACTTAGAAGCGCAGATGACATGCTTCCAAGCTGGGCCTCGCATGGCTCCAGGCACAGAAACTACTGTGCTATCACAATGAGGACTACTCCTGGGAGTTGGGGTCAAACGCAGACCATCTTGGTCCGGAAACCAGCTGCGACAGCTGGCGAAGGCGCCTGGCGCCTCATCCAACAATACACGGAATCCGCAGGAGTCGGCGTACCCCTGGGGCCACCCGGTCCATGAGCCCAACTCCAGCCCAGGCGGAGCAGATTCAAGTGCTTTGGTGTCTGTAGGCTCGCGACAGCGGGGCGCCTGCCCCAGGTCTCGCTTCCACCAGAGCCTCTGGGAGGCACAGTCGCAGGCAGCTCTTTCTTCTCTGTCTTGGACCAACACTAAACTTTGGCGTCCACAAACTAGCTCGGGACGAATGTGAGGACTACATCTCCAGAGTGACATCATCGTCTCTGGCCTGACCACAACTCATGGCTGACCACCCAGAAGGGAAAATTTGACTCCGGGGGCGGGACCTGCGGACGACCAATTGGAAGACAAGAGGAGGGGCCATTTGGGCTAACCTAAAGACCCAAGAGCCCTCTGGTGGCGGCCGAAAGCAGAGAGGAATGCACGGGGTAGTTTCGTCGAAGCTCGGTTCTTTACGAGAAGAAAATACAAAGGTAGCTAGGCCACTGTGACCCGGGAGCGGAAGATCAGAGTCATTATCCCCAGAAAAGTATATTGAAATGCAAATTCTCGAGTTCATGCGAGATCCAATGAGTATGGGTGTCGGGGTAGAGCGCAGAAATCTGAATTTTTAAGATTCTCGCAAAAAAATTCTTCCTAAAAAGAGGTTTGAGAATCACTGATACAGTCATAACACATTTAAGGATGTCCCCAGTCGCTCCGGTTACTCGAGGGCTGACGGGAGAGAAGCCCTCACTAGGATCTAGAACTGGAGCACGCCCCACCCAGTCCCCGGGAATCTAGAGTCGCTTAAGACCGGAAATGGGATCGCTTCCAAAAGCGGCCTCAGGCCGAGGGGAGACCAAGGAAACTCCCAGCCTCTCCCGCGTCGGGATCCTTAGGGGCCGAGATCTTTGGGCGAGTGGCGTGTAGCCTGCCGGGGGTTGTAGTCCGCAGCCTGGCCGCGCGCCTGCGCCCTGGGTAGCTGCCCCCGGTGAGCCTGGGAGAGCCGTGGGCGCTGAGGCGGTGAGTCCCGGAGCGGTCAGAGGGCGTGGCCGTCCCTGGGGCGCGGGCGCGGGGAGCGGGGCTCCCTTCCCGCTCGGGCTGCGCTAACCGGCCGCTTCCAGACCCGGTCCGGGTGTGGGCACGGGGAGGAGCGACGGGCGGCGGGCCCCTGTCCGGCCCGGATCCCCGCCGCCGCTCCCTGCGACCCGGCCGGGCCTTCCCGGGCTTCTCCTGGGCGGGGAGCGCCCCTCCGGGCGGCGGGACATCCTCCCCGGGGAGCACGCTCGGGCCGCGCCGCGGCCCCCCGATTTTAAGCCGGCTTTTAGGCTTGTCCCCCTATCCTTTCCCCGAGTGCCCTCTCTTTACACCCTACTTCATCCACGGGCCCTGTGGGCCGGCTTCATTCAGGAGGCTTTGAGGAGAAGCCATCAGCCCCGGGGTGGAGTGAAGTTTTCATCCGGAAGGGCCGACGGGGAGAAAGGCGGAGGGTCAAGTCCCTGGTCGGCGTGGTGGAAGGTTGGGGACCGTCCGCGGAGGGCTGCCCAGCTGTGAGGCTGGAGCGCATTCAAGGCGGGTCCATAGCCCAAACCAGCACGGTCCCTGGATGCCCTCCAGCGACGGTTAGGTGCCTTGGCGGGGTGGGGTGGGAGGAAATAGAAGCTTCCTAGGAAATGAGCTTTCCTGAGCGCTTCCTCTGTGCCAGGCACACTGCTGTTCCTTTCCCTGCGCTGGGATCCGCCTTAGGAACTTCTATGAAAGAGATGCCGTGATTATCTCGTGTTAGCGACAGAAGCCCTGGGCGTCAGGGTCTCAGAGCTAGCATGTTATCCCGAGATGGCTCTGCCGCTGAAGCCCGGGCTGCCATCAAGATAACGGTGCTATGGGGGCAGTGCCCATCTGGCATGACTGGGTGGGATCATGAGCATATTTTTCCTTGTCCCACCACTCCAAGGAAGAGGACAGGTCCATGAGGCGTCCTGGCAAATGCAGACAGAGTGCAGCCACAGCACACGGGGCGGTGGGGGGAGTGGGCACCGGTGCTGAGACCTGTGGGGACATGTACGTGACGGCCTCTGTGACCTCAGAGGCTGCACTCAGAGAACTTGTGGATGTTTGGGACATGAGCAGTGTGGGAGTCTGTAGATTCCAACCTCCTCCCCACTTCCCTCTGACGTTTACTGTGTGACTTGGGACAAAGTTATTCCGTCCTCCTCAGGTTCACCTCAGTCCCCTCATCTGTATTCAGGACACAGTACCAGAGCCCACCTCCTAACGTTGGGTGAGGGCTAAATGAACCGATGCATGTGGGAGGCTTAGAACAGTAGCTGGCACAAGGCGTGATGAATGTGACAGATGTTCTTGGTTATTAATGTAGTCCCGATTCCTGCTGGCCTGCCCTTTTGCCATGTGTTTTGCTCATGAGAAAGGCACTTAGAATGCTGTTTCAGGATGAGGGTCACGGTGATGTTGCCTGAACTATGCATAACCTCCAGTGGAGAGGAATGAGGGACTGATTGGTGGTTTGCTGTCTTTGCAAGGCATGGCCCTAGCCAAGATGCCCATGGTTGAAGGTGACTAAGGGTTACTCAAAGGTAGATGGACTTTCATGGTTCTTCACCGTTGTAAGTATTGCTCCTCCATTTCTTCTGTGGCCTAGCTATATTCAGAAACACAAGACATTTGAAATTAGGCTGGGAGTGGGTTTAAAGGCCACTAAATCTGTAGGGGTTCACTGGGTCCATGGAATTCTAGAGCAGAGCTGTCCAATAGAACTTTCTGCAAAGATGTCTCTTTTTTAAAATTTTTATTGGGGTATAGTCGATTAACCATGTTGTGTTAGTTTCATGTGTACAGCAAAGTGAATCAGTTATATATATACATATATCCACTCTTTCTTTAGATTCTTTTCCCACATTGACCATTACAGAGTACTGAGTAGAGTTCTCTGTGCTATACAGTAGGTCCTTATTAGTTATCTATTTTATATATAGTAGTGTGTATATGTCAATCCCAATCTTCCAGTTTATCCCTCCCCCACCCCTTACCCCACCCCGTAACCATAAGTTTATTTTCTACATCTGTAACTGTATTTCTGTTTTGTCCATAAGTTCATTTGTAGCCTTTTTTTAGATTCCACATATAAGCGATATCATATATTTGTCTTTGTCTGACTTACTTCACTAAGTATGACAACCTCTAGGTCCATCAGTGTTGCTGCAAATGGCATTATTTCATCCTTTTTTATAGCTGAGTAATATTCCATTGTATGTATGTACCACACAAAGATGTCTCTTGAGCACTTGAAATGTGGCTAGTGTGAATGAGAAATTGAATTTTTAGTTTTAATTAATTTAAACTTCCACATGGGACTATTTTATTTTTACTGAGGTGTAGTTAATTTACAATGTTGTATTAGTTTCAAATATACAGCAAAGTGGTTCAGATATATATGTATTGGGTCGGCCAAAAAGTTTGTTCGGTTTTAAGTGAAAATAAAGGACACATTTTTCATTTTCACGAGAAACCTTATGGAACAACGTATTCACTAACCAAAAGAACTTTTTGGCCAACCCAATATGTACATATATGTGTGTGTATATATATATATGTTCTTTTTCAGATTCTTTTTCCATTATAGGTTATTATAAGATATCGAGTATAGGTCCCTGTGCTGTACAGTAGGTCCTAGTTGTCTACTTATTTTATATATACTAGTGTGTATCTGTTAATCCCAAACTCCTAATTTATCTCTCCCCCGACCCACATGGGACTATCAAATACCATATTGGATAGCACAGTTCTAGAGAATCCGTGGATGGTCTTGAAGATTTTGTAAACTTTTTGAAATTGAATGCAGAATTTGCTGTGTAGTGTATCTTTCTAGAAATTGTCCATGACTTTCATCAGATTCTCAAAACCCCCCAAAAGATTATGATCTGCTTCTTTAGGGCTTTGGAGAAAAGTAAGCAAGTTAAGGGAGGTTAGTCTGCCCTCTGGTAACCACTGCTGTTTCTCCTTCCTCATTTTGTCCCGTCCTCAGCTTGTAGGTGGCTCTGCCCAGAGGATAACACAAAGAAAGAAATTGGAATCTGCCGCTTCGGGACCCAGATAAATTGTACAGTGCTGGAAGTTGGCGATGGCTGTGGCCCTGGGTTGTGCAATCCAGGCCTCCTTGAATCAGGGCTCGGTGTTTCAAGAGTATGATACCGACTGTGAGGTCTTCCGCCAGCGCTTCCGGCAGTTCCAGTACAAAGAAGCATCTGGGCCTCATGAAGCTTTCAACAAACTCTGGGAGCTCTGCTGTCAGTGGCTGAAGCCAAAGATGCGTTCTAAGGAGCAAATCTTGGAGCTGCTGGTGTTGGAGCAATTCCTAACGATTCTGCCCACAGAGATAGAGACCTGGGTGAGGGAACATTGCCCGGAGAACAGAGAAAGAGTTGTGTCACTGATAGAAGACTTACAGAGAGAACTTGAGATACCAGAGCAGCAGGTGAGAAAAGAGGTTGGGATCTTGGGAATTAGACCAAAAGAAATAGCAGAGGCAGCTGGGACCGGATCAGACATTCTGTCTGGTGCCTCAGGATTTCCCGGCAGGGCTTTCCATTTTTTCCTTCTGCTGGAATTGGCATATGTTTCAGTGATTCTCAACTATTAAGCCCAACTCCACTTCTATAACAGATATTTGGTAATGTCACCTTTACTGTGCTAAAATGAAATTTATAGATAATATAACCTCCTTACATACACCGAATTAGGAAAAAAAATCAATATAATAAGTGCTCTATGGGCCAAATATTGGACAAAGCCTGTTTTTATACAACCCATGAGCTAGTAATGGTTATTACCTTTTTGAAGAGTGGTTTAAAGAAAAAGAAGAGGCAACAGACCAATACTACCCACAAAGCCTAGAATATTTACTGTCTGTCTCTTTACAAGAAAATTTTGCCAACCCTGAGTCAAGTAGAGTCTAGAAGGAATATAAAGGAAAAGGAATGTGATTTCTTATGAATTAATAAGCATGTGAGCGTGCACATATTTGGGCTTGACTGCACCAAAACTTCAGGAGGTTGTCATTTGCTTGAATCTATGCACAGATACATTGGGAAGGCGACAGGCAGAACTTCTGACTGATGTGATACAGCTCAAACACTGTGAGTGGTGTTGCTATTGGTCATATGATTTCTCAAAGTGGCAAACAACTCTTGGTCAGTCCAAACAATAAGTAGTATAGTCTTCATTTGATTTCCAAAGTAATGCTTTCCTAGAGCATTCAAGTCATGCTAAAATATGCAAAAATATTTTGTGTTTATATGACCAACAGGGTGAGGTCCTTGACAGGTTCTTTTTACCTACATGAATGTTTGAGGGAACATTCCTAAATTGTTTGGGAGGTGGAACAATTCTGCCCTGTGAATTACTGGGTTGGGCAAAAAGTTTGTTCTGGTTTTTCCATAAGATGTTACAGCAAAACCCGAATGAACATTTTGGCCAGCCAAATATATAGACCCCCACATCTGGCTCGTTACATTCTGATAACCACCACCTGCCATCATAGGCAAAATGCCCCATGGGGGCAGTGGCGCTGGCCTCTGTTCAGAACCATCCAGTGAAAGCCATAGCTGAGCACGGGCAGAATCTTTGGGAGAAGAAAGTGTTTGTTGGTGGGCATTAGGGGCACTTCTGCCTGGTGTGTTGATGGGGTCAACTCTCCTTGGAGTCATCCAAGGTTCCCTGTCCCCCTAGGATAGAATGAATTTATGGTTTCCCTTCCTTTCTCCATCCTCTTGGTTTAGCTTACCATATAGATTTTATCTTTGTATGGTCTAGTCGTGCACCACCCAGAACAGTAGCCACTAGCCAGGTGGGGCTCTTGAGCACTTGCAATGTGGCTAGTCCAAATCGAGATGTGCTGTAAGTATAACATGCACAGCACATTCCAAAAACTTAGTATGAAACAAAAGTCGGTGTAATATCTCATAACAATTGTTTATATTGATTACATTCTGAAATTATGATATTTTAGATATATTGGGTTAAATACTGTGTGTTATTAAGGTCAACTTTACCTATTTCATTTTTTGTTTCATATGGCTGCTGGTACATTTAAAAGGACATGGGTCCTTGCATTATATTGCTACTGGGCAGGGCTGGTCTGGACTTCAGTGACGGTTCTGGCATTTCCCCCAGCTCGATAGGCAGGAAATGCTCTTGGAAGAACTGGCACCAGTGGGAATGGCACACATACCGCCAAACATCCACCTGGAGTCACCCCCACTCCAAGTAATGGGACCTGCCCCGGAGGTCCCAGTGGCAGAGGCGTGGATCCCACAGGCAGGGCCGCAGGAGCTGAGCTTCGGTGCTGCTGGGGAAGGCCAGCCCTTTCTGGACCCTGGTAAGGCAAGGGTTTTATTTCCTTTCTTTGGTTTCCATTTTGAGAGCTCAAGAGCTCTCCAGGGTTGAGGTTGCTTAGAATACTGATTACCTGATGGAAACAGGCCACTCTGATCAAGAGTAGAAGGAGGAGGGACTTCCCTGGTGGTCCAGTGGTTAAGACTTTGCCTTCCAAATGCAGGGAGTGTGGGTTTGATCCCTGGTCAGGGAGCTAAGATCCAAATGCAGGGAGTGTGTGTTCGATCCCTGGTCAGGGAGCTAAGATCCCACCGGCCCCGCAGACAAAAAATCCAAAACATAAAACAGAAGCAACATTGTAACAAATTCAGTAAAGACTTTTTAAATGGTCCACATCAAAAAAATCAAAAGATTAAAAAAAGAGCAGAAGGAGGAAATATCTCTCTGGGAATAGCTGGGCACAAAGCACCTTCAGTCGAATGGGATTGAAAACCCCTTAAGCTAATGACCCTGCTCAGGAAGCCTATTTTTCTGTTTTCAGTTTTTTTTATTGTGGTAAAATACCCACGACCTAAAATTTGCCACCTTAACCATTTTTATGTGACAGTTCAGTGGTATTGAATACATTTATAATTTTGTGGAGCCATTACCAATATCCATCTCCATAACTATTTTCATCTTGTAAAACTGAAACTCTAGACCCATTTAAACAATAACTCCCCATTTTTACATTCCACCACCGCCCCCCACCCCCAGCAACCACCATTCACCTTTCTGGCTTATTTCACTTAGCATAATGTCCTCAGGGTTCAGAATTTCTATCCTTTTAATGGCTGAATAATAATCCTTTGTGTGTATATATCACATTTAGCTTATCCATTTTCCATAAACGTATACTTGGGTTGCTTCTACATCTTAGCTATTGTGAATAATGTTTCTGTGAACATGGGTGTAAAAATATCTGTTTGAGACCCTGCTTTTACTTCTTTTGGGTATATAACCAGAAGCGAAATTGCTGGATCATACGGCATTTCTAGTTTTAATTTTTTGAGGCACTTCCATTCTGTTTTCCACAGAGACTGTACCATTTTATGTTCCCACCAACTGTGCACAAGGTTTCCAATTTCTCCACATCTTCACCAACACCTGTTTTTTTTTTTTTGATAGTAGCATTCCTAATGGGTGTGAGGTGGTATCTCATTGCAGTTTTGATTTGCATTTTCCAAATGATTAGTGATGTTGAGCATCTTTTCATGTGCTTATTGACCATTTGTAAATCTTCCTTGGAGAATGTCTAATCAGGTCCTTTGCACATTTTTGATTTTTTTTTGGTGTTGTTGAATTTTAGAGTTCTCTATATATGATGGATATCCATCCTTTATCAGGTATATGATTTGCAACTATTTTCCTCATTCAGTGGGTTGCAACCCTGGGGTCTCTAGTACACAAGACAGAAAATCAGTCCCAGGCACCTTGGAGCTTCAGCTCCTATGGATGATTCAGATACGAAAATAGGACTGTAAAATGATGTATCGGAGGGAGTAGGATGCTATGGGAGCTCATAGGATTGCCACCTAACCAGCTTTTGGCAGACAGGGAAGGCATCCCTGAGGAAGAGGGATCTGGGTAGACACCTACAAGATGAATTGCAGTAAAGCCTGCTGAGTGGTGGAAGTGGGGAGGGGAGAGGGCTTTGGACAGAATGGGCAGCCTATGCAAAGGCTCGGAGGGGTAGAGAACATGGCATATTTGAAGACTTCCTGCTGCAGTGTGAGGGCGCAGAGGAGAAGCAGAGGAGCCAGAGTTGCACTGAAGAGGCTGGAGAGAGAAGCAGGGTCCTGGATCTTGAAGAACTTTGTCAGCCTTGTTGAGAAGATATGCTTTATTACCAGGACAGTGGGGAACCACTGGATGTTCTTAAGTAAGGCAGGGATATACACAGATTTGCATTTAGAAGGTCACTCTGGCTACAGTAAGAGAGGGAAGACTGGAAACAGCTATCCTGCAATCATCCACCTTAGAGAGCATGATTTTCTGGTCTAAGATTGTGTCGGTGGTGGTAGAAAGAAAAAGACAAATTTGAAAGATAGGTAGGAAATAGAAATTATGGGACTTGGTGATTGCCTGGGTGTTGGATGAAGAAGAAAAAGAGGTTAAGGATGGTGTCCAGGATTCTGACCAATGAACTGAGAAGATTGATAACATTATTCACTGACACAGAGAACAGAAGAGAGGATCAGATTTGGTGGGTCAATGTGAGTTTAGATTTGACCATGTTGACCATGTGGAGTTTGAGGTGTTTGTGGGTCTCTAGATATTTTAAAATAAAGGTGACAAAAAAGAAAAACCAACAACTACATATGTATGTATATTATGGTCAAAGCAGAACTATATAATATTGTCATTTACGTTCCAATCTTTACATTACCTATAGTTTGTAGTCTGTTTAAAAGTTCTAAAAAATCTGTAATTTTGTGTGTATGCCAACAACAAATAGTGAAACTTAGCTAGAAATATTTAATGATAAAGGTTTTTGCACATGCACTCTCATTCCCCATGTTAATTTGCTCCTCTTAGCAACAGTCCCAGGTACAAAGATCACAGATGATGCCGAACAGCAATGTTGCTCTTGATTGTAATACTTTACTCTTTAAAGCACAGGAATGTCCAGTGTGTTCAACAAGGAAGAGATAGAATGAATTAAACAAGTAAAATATACCAATTTGGAGGAGAGGAAACTACCCCTTTTTCATCACTGTTAAAGTGATATATTATGCTTTGCAAAATGATGCGAGACTTATTGTTCTATAATTTAAAGGTTGCTTATACTTTTACTGTTTTTTTTTAAAATGAAAACATCTTCAGTATATTACATGAAGCACATCATATTGTAGGCTGAGTGAGTAAAAAGCACAGGATGTTGGCAGAATAGAAGAAATTTCAAAGTAATGGAAGAGGTCAGTTGATTTTATATTAAAGTTTGGAATGTATTCCCTGTTAGCAAAACACTAAGTTGTTGGGTATATATAAAATGGAAAAAAATATATGGATATACACACATATATTCACCTAATGATATTCATTTAATGTGAATACAGAGCGGGGTGGGAAGAGAGAATAAGAGAGAAAGAGGGAAAAGAACTTAAGTAGAAAATATAAAGAGATCTAAGAAATACATAAGCTTTAAAAAATCCCTTATTTAAAAAAAAAAAATCCCTTATTTGAATTCAAGCCAGACACGCCAGATGTTAGAGCTAGGCAAAAATATTAGAATGTCTGCAATAAGAAAGAAAAGATGTGCTGGTCCTAAAAATATAAACTATACCATGCTTATCTTTGAAAGTCTGGAGTTCAAAATTAGTACACCAAATTTGGAACAATTTTCATTTGCTAAAGCCTCAGGTTTTTTTAATTTAACCGCATGAGCTTACACTAGGAAATTGTATACAAAATGTCAAAGGTCACATCTTTTTGGTGATACAGGATATGAGAGCTGAAAATTTAAAGTAAAATGTAGGGCAAAAAATGCTGTCCGCCAAGCAACAAAAGAGTCTTGTAACTTAAATTTCTTCAGATTATTCTATTGTACTAAATTATGTATCATTAGCTAATATCCAGCCCTAACAGTAGTAATGATATTTCTTGGTACAGAGGAGACTTTATGACACAATGTTTGATAATGGGGCTTAATGAAGTCATTCCCTGAGCCTGGGATGGGGGGAACATTCATCAATCAAGCACCTTCTTTGTTAACCTCAAGTTGCTTTTTCCCTCTTTGTATTAGATAGCTTTTGCTGAATAACAAATTACCCCCCAAAATTTAGTAGCTTAAAAGAAAAAGCACTTATCACTTCACAGTTTCTGAGAGTCAGGAATTTGGGAGTGGTTGACAGGGTGTTTCTGGCTCAGAGCTGCTCATGTAGTTGCTGTCAAGATGTCAGCAGGGGCTGGCAGGAGACCTCAGTTCCCTGCTAAGCAATCTTCTCCATAGGCTGCCTGAGTGTCCCAGCAGCAGATTTTCCCCAGAGCAAACGAATCAAGAGAAAGCAAGGAGGATGCCACAATGTTTTTGATGAGCTAGTCATACACCATCACTTCTACCATATTCTATTCATTAGAAGAAAGTCACTAAATCCAACCCACACTTAAGGGGAAGAAAATTAAACTCCACCACTTGAAGGGAAAAATATCAAAGAATTTGGAGCTATATATATATATTTTTTTCTTGCGTTATGCGGGCCTCTCACTGCTGTGGCCTCTCCCACCTGCGGAGCACAGGCCCCGGACACGCAGGCCCAGCGGCCATGGCTCACGGGCCCAGCCGCTCCGCGGCACGCGGGATTCTCCCGAAACGGGGCACGAACCCGCGCCCCCCGCATCGGCAGGCGGACCCTCAAGCACTGCGCCACCAGGGAAGCCCGGAGCTATATTTTAAAACAAGTATGCACCTATGCTTCCCTGTCCCTACTAGCCTTTTACTTTATACTTCAGTTTTTTTAGGTCAGAAAGTAGTTTTTAAATTGAAGTGTAGTTGATTTACAATATTGTGTTAGTTTCAGGTGTACAACATAGTGATTCAGTATTTTTATAGACTATACTCCATTTAAAGTTATTATAAAATATTGGCTATATTCCCTGTGCTGTGCATCATATCCTTGTATCTTTTTTTATTCTTTTTCTGCAGTCAGTTTTTCTTGAGTAAATTTCTTCAGTTAATTAGGTCAAATAAAATATACCCATGATGAGTCTCTTGGCTATAACCATGAGGTGAGTTTAACATCCTGGGCAACACATTATCATCACTTGGAAACTAAGGTTCTAGACTATAGTCTAAAGGACGGAAGCAATGGTTGAATTTAAGGTAATAGGCTTTGGTTTCTATTTGTAGGACCCTCTTATTTTATACCAACTGAATAGCAATTGATGTTTCTTCTATTGCTGTAAAACCACTCATCCAATGGTAATAGTAGCTACACAGACTAGTCTGCATTGAGGGTGAAGAGAAGAGCCCCCTGACAGAAGTAGAAATTAGAGCCTGCTTTC